GGTCTAATCACGTGATTGTCCACGGAAGTCACAGAGGCGGGAAAAGACGAAGATTGAACACGGAGATCCTTTCAGTCTTGTTATTACAAATAAATATTAACAACTGCGAACTTATCAAAGAGGAACATATATAAACACAAGATCATCATTGATCCGGAATTATGTACAGTCTCTTAAAAAGTACAAACATTTTAATTAGTTAACAATGGGCGCGTCCAAAGCCAACAGAGCAGACAGCCGGCTACAAATTTCAGTATTATCGGAGACTGAAGATGTGATAATGGAATTGTACTAATTTCAAGTACTACTTAAGTATAAGTACTATTATTTCGTATGCGCAACCCTACGATGCATTGACTTAAAGTCGACTTTTTTTAGGACGAAAGTCGACTTGATGTCGACAAAAGTTGACGAATGACCGCAGAAACGCCGACTCTTCGTCGACTTTTAATCGACTTTTAATCGGAAAGTCGACTTTCCGTCAGTTTTAACAGTCGACTTTCCATCATCTGTGCTGTTAGGGTATTTAAATACATTTCGACCCGTAATCGGCAGCCATTTGCCGCACGCGAGCTACAGCCTCGGGCGTACCGTATTTCACTTCGAGATTTATCCATTTCATGAAGAGAGTTTTCATGTTTTTCATTGGAAACGTTTGGGCACACGCCCGCTCCAACACTTTTCTGCAAATAAAAAATATCCCTTACATAAAATGTACTAAAGAACTAAAAATTCAGATCTGAAACTGATGTATTCTGATAATGTATATTCATCATTGCACGCTACATTTGAGTAAAGCCCGCTGCAGACGATGCTATTTTTCCTGCTGGATTGCTTGCAATCTAATAAATTACTATCGTTGCACCATTCAGCACTCAGGATTCCTAGTAATTTACTAAATCGCAAGCAATCCAGCAGGAAAAATAGCATCGTCTGCAGCGGGCTTAATACCATAAAATTTTTATGTACCTGGCAAAATCGATGTTGTTAGACTTTATGAAGGAATCGGCGTAGTCTGACCATATGTAGCTGTTTTTGGGATAAAAACTCAGGGCCATCTCGAATATATCTTCCGCTTCTTCGCTGTCTCCCAGTGTGTTCTCAAAAATCGCAAATTGTACCAGCATGTATGCGTCTGCAAACGCACGTCATAGTTTTGATGTATCTGAGATACAATCATTGACAAAAATCCCCTAAATTCGAAAAACTGGCATATCTACGCTAAACGTGCAGTAAACCTAGTGATAACTGATATAAATGATAACTAACATAATATATTTATTTTTAAAAAGTTATTTTTCACATTTTTCAGCACTTTAATAGGTTTATTTGCCATTTTACAACTTTTTACAATAAAACTTTTGGCAGTGAAAATGCCCAGAATGCAACCTTAGAACATCAAATTTCTTATTTATTTAACAACATTATTTAGCAGTGTAATACAGAAAAAGTAATTGGAATATAGTTAAAAGGGTAAATATGCATTATTTAAACAACTATAAATATTATTTGTTATTAATATTAATATTTCACCCTCGATGAAACGGGTTAAACGTGGCAACAGCGCGACGTTAGGTTTATGGCTTCAAGGTTGATAGCAATGCACTTTTGACATTGCGAGCTAACTTCGGTTTAGTCCTGCATCGCAATGTCAAAAGCCACAAAAATGTATCGGTGGAAAGGAAAAATAATTAGCGAAAGTACGTATCGAAAGAGACTTGCGCAACAAAGATGTAGACTTTTAAGAAAAGTTCAAATTTCAAAAGTTCAATGATTGCCGCATGAGCCGCCGCGATTTCTTGTCGAGTTTCGGCAACGCCGAGCAGAATTTTGTCCACGTGTTGGGTTCGTCCTTAAACTTGCTGGTCATGGTTTTGATCAATCTCTTAAGCTTTTTTTTTTTACCGGCGTCCTCGTGCACAGTCAGTATGTGCAGGTACATGCTCGGATCGTTATTCTTCACGGCCTCCTGGAACACGTCGTTCAGAGACTCGGCGGTGCCGTATCTGGTCTCCAGGTTGAGCCATGCCTTCCACACGTTTGATAACTCAGCAAACTGCATGAAATGGATCTTTTTCACGGCTTGTCTCGCGACCGCTCTCGCCTTGTCGATCTCCGTAGCCTGCAGATGATACGCCATGTACTGCATCCACAGTAGCGAGCTATCGGGGTTTGCCAAGACCAATTTGTCAAATTGATCGACCGAATTGGGTATCTGATTGCTCACCAGAGCCTCCTCTCGCTGGCGAATCTCACGTTCCTTCTGTCGTTCCTGTTCTCGCCGCTCAGCCGCACTTATCTTCTTTTTCTTGTTCCGCTCAGACTCTTCTTCAGGCTCTTCGTCGTCGTCGCTGGACGTTTCAGCAGGAGCAGCCAATTCTACCGTGTCGTTCCAAGAAAATCCGCATTCCGGAAGGCGCAATCTCTTCACTGTTTTGCTCTTCTGTGTTTCATTCTCGTCGACAGAATCTTCGTTCGACTCGGAGTGTTCATCTATGTCTTTTATTCTACTCTCTTCCTCTTCGACTTTATTTTTCTTCAGCGCTTTCTTCGTCGAATTTGCAAGATTGTGCGGCTCAGACACCTTTTTCTTCTTCACGTGCTTGGTCTTGGTAGCTGATATTTTCGACACGGTCGTGCTCTTCGGTACTTCGAATGCAGACTTTAGCAAACAAATTGGAATACTGCCAGTATCGCTCTTCGTCATTACAACGTACACCCGGATCTTAGTGTGGATCTTGTAAGGAGCTAGATCGGGAGCAATGTCGTTGATGTGTCGACGGACAGGTAGAGCTGCCAAGTGTCCCAAGCCGTTGCGCTTCACGAGAATGAGTACGAACCAATCGAGAACGAGCAAGATTTTCGCTTTCAGCATAACCCCGGTGGGCAATTCTGGCAGTTGCATATTCTGCGAAGTGATACTGTTTCCTATGCTCTTTACCAACGTCACGTTGAGGATATTATGCGGATAATTCTTCCACATGATTGTGCCGCACACCGAGTCCCCCAATTTAAGGTTGCCGATGCAATGTTCCTTGCGTACAATGCAGTTCAGTCCGTCGGACACCCGAAACAGCAGACCGTTCTCAGTTATCTCTTTGACAACGCCGACGACTTTTTGACCTAGATACACCGACGAGATCGGCTTGTTCATTTGCTCATAGATATCTTCTTGATCCCGCTGTGTGCTGAGGTAGCAATGCAAGATGCCCACCGCCGTCGTCATCTTGTCTTCGTAATCGGTCAGACACTCGTACACGGCTTTCAGCGACATCGTCAAAGTGAGCCGTCTCTCTTGCGAATTGATAGCTATGATTTTAACAAATAATATCTGATTCACGTGCAGTTTCTCGAAATTGCTGATACATTTGCGGGATACAAAACCGAGCTTGGAATAATTATCGATCGGCAGGACAACTTTCACGCCGTTCGGCAATATTTCCCAGACCGAGGATGGAATACTGTCACCCACTTTCAACGAGTCGAAGTTCCTGTATTTGTGTTGCGTCACTAAAGTGTGTGTCAGTAGCACGGTTGGTTCTGTGGCAAAGACAATACTATTGATGACGTCTCCAGGAGCGTATCTCGCTGTCAGCACTGCGCCGATTTTGGTGCACAGAGCCATGTGTGCAGCTGGCAAGAAAGCCGTCACGGCAGCTTCGTCATCTTTCGTCTGTAGCTTCACATATATCCCTAGATAGGTCCTTTCCGACACTGTTCCTTTGACCATCTCTCCGACAAAAAGGTCGACTGGTCTTTTCTTCTCTTTCTCCTCTTTCACGATTGTCAGGTTCATTCTTCGCTTGTCCTTCTCCACCGATTCGACGCGCACTGTGACTGTCTGGCCGATGAAAAAGTTCCAATTCATGTGCTCCGTATCGGGGTTTAGTGTAGCACGCGAAACCCAGCCTTTTACCAGCCCGTAAAATCTCACCAGTAAGCCGTTCCTATTTATCAAGCTGACCGTACCGTGATACTTCGATCCGCATTTGGCTTCGCCGAAATCCTGCAAAATTGGCAATTGGCTGTTTACTAGTGACCGCTTTAGCGTGAATTTCATCCGATTTTTGTCGCGATCTATATCCAGGACTCTCGCCTGGACCTTGTGGAGTGCCCCCGGTTGTTTCGTACAGTTTATGCCGCTATCGGATATGTGTTCACGCGGGACAATTCCACGCACCCTTCCAAGACTCACGGCTACGTAGTTATTAGTCGGTCGAACATCCAAGATCGTCACATCGTGAACATCTCCAATATTAAAGTCAGAAGCTGAGAAATAGATGTCTTTCAAAGCTGAGGTATTCGTTGTACAGACGTAAAGGTGTTGCAGCAAGTTGTACGAGACGACTCTGCACTTATACGTGGAACCTACTTCGAATTTGGTTGAACACAAACCAGACTTGTCCTCGAGGAAAGAGACATATCCACGTAGACCACGAGATTTAGATAACTTGAGGACTACTCCATCGACTACTTTGTAGAGACATTTGGCTCTCTCTATAATATCGCCTACGCGTAACATCTCCTTTTCCGACTCGTCGGTCAGCAGACTGAAGTACGCAAATTTCGTTAGTAGTTGTCTGTACAATAACGTGCCAATCACTTCCATGTTGACTGTATACGTAGATAAAGGATTGCTTAGATAAATTTGATTTATGTATCCAACATTGTCTTCCCCAAACGTAACTCGTAGGCCGTCGGAGAGCACCGTTGTTACACGAAGCAACAGTTTTGTTCCCGGTGTTAAGACGTCCCAAGATTTTACGTGTGAGTTCACCCTGTCAATCCGTGTCTTTTTAGCTGTCAATTGGATGAAAGATGGTTCAATTATAGTGTCAAAATTCTTGACTGCACACAAGATTTGACTACCTGTAACTATAAAATTTATGATATTAACAAATTACTTTTCCTGAAGGACACATGCAACGATACTGTTTCGTTATTTTTACAGAATTAGTTGTACTTACAATATTGCTTTCCTTTTTCAACTTGGTCATAGGCGAGAAATGCTTCAACACCTATGCCTGTGTCCATTAAATAGCCATGATCCTCTATACATTTGACAGAGCAAACAATTTTTGAACCTTTTGCGAGATAATTAATAGAAATATTTTGATTTATTAATTCCGGGTCCAGAGACAATTTGCAGTCTCTTCGGCTCGAGTCACATAGAGTTTTGACGTAGCACGTTACATAATCGCCATATTTGAACATATGTGTTAAAGACACGGGTACTTTGCTCTTGACCATTGCGAGTAAGTCTTTCAACTGTTTTGTGTACGCCTTACTGATATCACTGATCTCCACAGATCCCACGAGTCCATCTGGCAAAGACACTGTCAACTCTAATTGTTTTACATCACGAATCCGGCCAAGGAATACGTATCCTTGGCATAGCTGTTGTTTAGAGAATTGTTGTGCAATATTGAGAATATTTGTTTTTTCTTTGCCCACCGTTTTTTCCTTTGTTTGTATTTTACGCTTTTTAGGTTTAAGCTCGTCCTTGGACATCTAAGAGATTATTACACAAAAGTGTTATTCGTTGTGCCCGCGCATTGTGTAGCTCTTCATTATGTACATTGTCTTTATGTCAAACTTTAATTGAATAAAATTGATATTAAAAAAAGTTTTCAAATACATCCAGAGATGCGATTTAATAATGCGGATTACCGTAATACTTTAAGATAAAGTAAAATTATACTTTTTTTCTGTTAATTTCCTCTTAAAATAAACTTAAAAGAAATTAAAATAAGTATTTACCGTGGTTGCAGACCTCTTAGTTCCAGGTTTCTTCCCACCTCGAGGAAAACTTTCCATCTAAAAACATACCAATGATTATTACAATTACAATTCATTAGTATTCAAAACATAATAAATACTTGTAACGTTGGATCAATTGAGAACCGGGACTAGACATTTTGGCGTCCGAAGGCAAAGAAAAAAGTGCGCCCTTTAGTAACAAAAATACTTCTTTTACGGTATATAAAATATAATGAGGATACTTTTACATAGTTTTATTCGATATATTAATATTGAACGCGGCGTCACGGCGCACAACTTAGGTCGATGGCCCCGCTCGATCGCGATCCCTACAAATCTTTTCACACGTGCCATGTCCGCCAAATCCTAGTCCCGGCTCTAGATAAATTAGATACACGTAATCTCGTCTGTGTGATGCTAAATTTAATGATTATGAATTCCAAACGTTAGTTTTAAAAACGTTTTATTGCAATTATAATCGTACGCCAACACTTTTATCTATAAATTACCTTAATCCAAAATCACGAATTATATCAGAAGACAAATCTTGCTACCATGTGTACAGGCGGACTCTTCCCTGCTTTTCACCCAAGTGCGCGCTTGGAATGGAACATGCTCGAATGCCTCGAACAATAAACCGCTAGATGCGAACCATTAATATAAAAGCATATAAAACTACAGGAGCCATGGCAGAAACCGTAGCGCATGCGCAAAGGTTAACCCAACCGGTCTAGTAACATGCAGGATTGCAACCGAAACTGATATCGGAGACAATGACCGCGTTCAGCAGACACAAAAAGAAACGTATGCGAAAATTCTACTATTAAGCCCGCTGCAGACGATGCTATTTTTCCTGCTGGATTGCTTGCGATTTAGTAAATTACTAGGAATCCTGAATGCTGAGTGGTGCAATGATAGTAATTTACTAAATCGCAAGCAATCCAGCAGGAAAAATAGCATCGTCTGCAGCGGGCTTTACAGAAAAGTTGAAAGTCGATTGATTAAAAACCATTCGAATAGCCCCAATCAGCTTTGCAACTTTTCTGTAAAGCCCGCTGCAGACGATGCTATTTTTCCTGCTGGATTGCTTGCAATCTAATAAATTACTATCGTTGCACCACTCAGCACTCAGGATTCCTAGTAA